GGGGGGAGCCGCCAACCTCGAACTTAAAACTTACACTCACTATTTTCTTCGAAAACATACGTGAGTTCCACAAAACAGCCAAATCACCGTAAGTGTACATACACGAAGTGCGAAAACAAAAAGGAAGCCGCACACAGCCATGAATGAAACGAAAGCGATCGTAAAATTCAAGAAAGACTGATGCTTTGGATAACGACAGCCATGCATGGAAAATTTCTTGACAATAGCTTGCACATAAATATTTGTTAGGGTTGTCATTCCAACAGATCGAAAAAGCGAAATTCTCTTTCCACAATAGCTGATATTTGTTTGTGAAAAACTTGGTGCCCAGTACATGTAGGATTCATCTGGCATTCTGTACTCTACTCTTTCTCGCTAAAAAGAACATGCTGCATTAAAACCGTTGTTTTGTCCACGATGTCTTCAATTTTTTCCGTTGGAAATTTATGAGGAAATTAGTCTGATTATATTGACTGTATTGAGAAGCATTTAAAGCTATTGTTGTCAATTGAATATTATTATGAAAATCAAATTAAATAATTTCACGAAATTTATCAATTTCACTTTGATTATATAAAAAAGCGAGATTTGATTTTAGAGTTGCTTCGACCATATAACAAGCGACATATATGCCTGGAATTTCATATATTAACGACATTATCGATTCATTGCTGTAGATACCTGCTGGTTCAATACATGTTGGATCATTGTAACAGGTACAAGATGTTGATAGATTATATTGGCGTGGTAAGAGTCTGACTTTGATGAGTGTCTCATTAATTGGAAAAAGTTCAACGGTTGTTGAAGTGTCAAATCCTGATAATAGAGAATTTGCATATGTTGTATCTCGAACAAGTTGTAATGTATTTATGAATATGTTTTCACTTGTCGATATGAATACATCAATTAAAGATTCACTTTGCATAAGAAGTTCTTTTTCTGAAATAACTTTTACACTAACAAACGATGCTGCATTAAAATCAATAAGTCCGTCGTTAACCGTCATAAATGATAATTGACATAATGATAAAATTGTACCAAATATTGATGAACCTACTTATCGAAAATCATTAACATACATCTCTTCGTTCAATGCTTTATAAAAAATGCCATAAAACCAATTTAAATCGACAAAATTACTTTGACATACTTGATGAAATGTTGCCTGAAGACTAATAAATGTTTTTCTTTGAATAGCAATATTTTCACATGGACATGATATTGTTTCAGAATGAATTTTATATAATGAAAAATATTGCTCAATCGAAGGATTGCTAATTATTACAGTTTTAGTAAGTTGTACTTGAGATGAATAAGTTGTAAGAATAATAATTGAAACAATAAAAACTATAAGAAATATACGAATAGCAAGCAGTTGATCGTGACTTTCACGTTCATTATTTTGGTTTGAACTGTTAGATGAAAATAAATTTAATTGAGAAAATCGACGAAGAATTAATCGAATAGAAAATTTTGGAAAAGAAATTGTCAGTACCAGAGTTCGACTTTTTTTATGACAAAAGCAAAAATTTAATAGAAATATATAATGAACAAAATGAGGAAGAATTAATTTCATGATTTTCATGAAGCCACCGATAAGTTCCAACATAATTGTTATAATGAGCCAAATAGATTTATATTCAATTAATGTATATGAACAATAATTAGGTCGACATTGTTCGTAGAAAGCACGATGAGATGAATAAACTTTCCATCGATCAACAAACATTTCATTTTGAATACTTTCAATAGTAGAATTAACACTGAAATGATAAAGATTATGAATATCAAGAGTTTCCAAGGTGAATATATTAAGCCAGAATGATATTAGATCAACACATGATTGATTAAATAAACAAATAAGAGTAGAATGACGAATACTTTCAGTTTGTAAACAGCCCGTATAGAAACCAGGTATTTCAAACAATTTATTAAAATGAGTATTATTGTTCAAATAGATCGACATTGGATCGAAACATCTCATTGAAAGTGAACAGATACATAAATTATGCATATTTTCAGGTTTTGAATAACTAAGTGGAGAAAATTGTAATTGAAATAATGAATTTGTAGCAACGAGATGAAAAAGGAAATTTGTACGTCTACTACTGACAATTTCATTACTCCATGTGATATTAAGAATAATCGCAAGATTACGAGCAAATGAACGAGTTGTTGTTGATATGAATGTATCTTTGTACGTATTTATTTTCAGATTAAATGTTTCTTGAGAGAAACTTTCTTTTATGACAAATGATGATGCATTAAATAAAATAAGACTTTTCTTGATATAATCATTTGATACTTTACATAAATTCGTAAAAGAATGAAATAATTGTGGTGCAAGAGTTCGAAAATCGGTTGGTAAAAAACGATTTAATGAAGGATTTTTAAGTTCTTGAAGTTTAACATAGTTAGATGAGCACAATAGATGAAGATCATAATCAATATGCATAAAATCTTTGTATTTCATCATTGATGTTGAACAAGGACAAGAAAATGATGGGTTATATCGTTGATTTATTTCCAAATGTATAAATTGTTCGTATGTAGGATATTTAATTTCATGAAAATAGGTGTTGCGTTCAATGCTAAAACATGATATTAGAATAATAATAAATATAACTAACAATAGAAAGAAAACTCGAGTGGCTATGATTTGTTCATTAATTTCTCTCTGATTCAATGTTAATGTGGACTTGGAAAAATAATTGAATTTCTGAAGACGTTTCCATAAAGAAACATGAACATTAGCTGAAAGTAAACACATAGCAATTAATAAATATGCAGTTTAATATGTATTTTAAATATTCAAATACAATTTATACAATTCATTAAGAGAAGCGTAACAAGAACGAGTCGGTTTTTTTTCGTCTACGGATGATTACCTTAAAATACAAGCATTAAACACTTGTTTTGGGTGTGGGTGTGGGGCGTGGTTGTGGGTGTGAGTGTGAGTGTGGGTGTGAGTGTGAGTGTGGGGTGTGGCTGTGGGTGCGAATGTGGGTGCGGGTGTGAGTAAAGAGAGAAATGACACCTACACCCACACCCCACACCCCACACCCACCCACCCCACCCACTCCACACCCACACCCACACCCACACCCACACCCACACCCACGCCCACCCACACCCCACACACCCCAACTAACACTTTCGAAATCGTGAGGGCCTTCCAGGGGTAGGTTATCTGCTGATTTCATATTCACTGTTCGGAACAATTTTCATTTTATCTGTGTTAATCAAGCTATTCTGAGCGAAAAATTGAGAGAAATAGCCATCGAATGGTGATATCCTATAACAAATCAATCGAAGACTTAGATAAAGAACTATTCTGACTCTGACAGTACGAATGATTTATGAAGTACCTTGCAGATTCGTTAGCATTCACGAAAGCGCCAACATATATTCTATTTGTTCGTAGAGTTGCTGTGCTATATGTTCTCGGACAAAACGATAAGCAATTCGTAACTCATACACGCAACTGATAGGTTTAGGAGCGTAGATTTAGAAGGGCATTGTATTCAGTAGATCTCAGTGGAGCATAATTCCTTATGATCCGTTTATTTTAAAGATGTACAATGCTTTTACGCGTAAGGTGTCATGAAAAGAGGTTGAACAGTGGGATACTATAGGCGATTGATCGGTCCCAAAACAATGTGCGAGCAATGGAAATGTAGGGTAGATGGGCAGCACTGCTAAGGACCAAGAAATTATAGGGAAAGATCATGATGACGTGCTCTCGACACGATCCATAGAATGAAGTGTTTCAGAGGTGCATCAGCGCCGTTGAAGATCGGAAGTTTATGCATGTAACCATGGTTTCTTTTTGTGAAAAAATGCGTATCTGTAGACCGTCCTCAACTAAACATCGGACTATGATATCTCAATTCTTGGCAACAAACGGCAGAAATGTATGATATACGAATTGGGATAAAAGTTTCGGCCTCTAGAAATATAAACGATAGATACAACGCAGCATCAGCTTTGCCTGGAAATGGATTGTAGATAGAAACGACATGATGTTCATATTCCAGGACTGGATGAGTCACAGTTCTCGAGTCAGAAACATCAGTTCGCAGAGAAATGATCGAATCATACGAATAATCAAAACCTCAAATAACTGCATTG